ATGACTTGTTTTAATTTAAGCGCATTCTCCGGTGAGCGAAAATTAAAACCCAGTGAATAATTAACCCTTTTACATTATGTATTTCTACCCAACCCTGGAATGACAGAAATATTTCATTTTCAAATGGTCCTCATTTGGCCATCATTAATCAGATCGTGTATTCTATGATGAATGTATGTTCAAGATAGAGATGGACATGAACGTATAGATGTCAATTCATAAGTCCTCGTTTTGGAATAACATCTGACAGGAGACTAATAAACTATTGCTAATGGTATAACATCATAATTAGTGTTCATATATAACTCAGGGCTCATACTTACATGTAACCTGTTTTGATGTTCGCATCAGACTTGGGATATGTACAGTTGGGCACAGACCCAGTACTGATTCAGTCGTTTCCCAAAAGACTTTAGTGACTGGTCAAAAGTTTAGAAATCTTTCAATTATAATAACCTGCTGAATATTTAGGTGGTTGAATATTCAGAGTATATGAAATTTGTTATTAAGATGCCTAGGTTGGTCACAAAGTAAAAGTTTGATTGTAATCAATGAAGTGTGGATGAATAATGGATGTTGTATAGATAATATATCATTGTAATATTTTTTTCAAAGTTTGAAGTACTTTATTTAAAAGGTCTTTTTCAATATAAAGTTGACCAATGAGCATAAAGACATTCAGAATTTTATCTTCTTTCGTTTCAAAGCATTGAAGTCCCCTTCTTGTGTTCCCAGCATCTGATAAAGTTCTTTTACTTTTCTTTTTCTTTCAACATCTCTGAAATAAAGAATACAATATTTTGTATTTTAATGCATTCAAAGAGTTAATGTAAGCAAGGGCAAAGACAATATCGTAATTTTATCTCTCAGGAGCATGTGATTATGTATAAAGTGACCAAGTTTAAACAAAGCCAATTCATGTGACTTTTCTGTTTAAAAAAACAATTCATGTGACTTTTCTGTTTAAAAAAAACAATTCATGTGACTTTTCTGTTTAAAAAAACAATCCATGTGACTTTCTGTTTAAAAAAAACAATCCATGTGACTTTCTGTTTAAAAAAGGCAAGTCATGTTATACATGGTAACAAATATCTCACCTTTCAAGCTGTTCTTCTATTTTCTGTCTTGCTAAGAACTGTGTATCCTTTCGAATTTCTCTTATTGCTCCTTTCATCTCTCTTCTGTGTTTGCTGATAAGTTTCTGTTTTTCATTTTGTGTTCTGCTTTGTGCTTTTCTTTTTGTGTCTAAATTATAACTATAGAAAAAGATAATTACTTATAGAAATAATATTAAATATCTAACACTTAATTTGCATATCATTAACATATGTATATTATTTTTTTTTATAACACTACACTTCAAGATCACAATATATGTTTAAGGTAGAATAATCTTAAAAATTATAATATTTGCAATAAACATGGCAACCAGACACTTCACAACAATATATTTGAAGTAGACCTTACAAATTTGGAGGGAATAGGGCTGCCATTGATTGTTTTTCCTCTCTTATTCAAAATGACTGCCAGTTTGGTCTTTTATCATTTTGGGATTATTTAAAACTATAATTACTATGGTTAGTACATGAAGATTGGTGACACATTCCTCTTTTGCTCATTGTTTAATGAGCTTGTACTGAAATGTTGATTATAATTGTCAGAAGTAGTTCTTCGGTTATAACATAACCAATGTTATACTACCAAATTTTAATTACTATAGAACATTTTGAAAATGATTTTGTCATTATAGTTTGTATTGTTTGTATTAAATACATTTAAAGTATTATAATATATCTTTATTTTCACCATTTAAGACGTTGAGAAAATGTGTATTTTTGTATTGTTTATTCATATTTAAGTGATAGACCATTACCTGTCCTTGTACACCACATGGAATCGTGACATACATGTATACACATGCACATGCACATAAGAAAGTACACATATCGAGCACTGGATCGGTCATGATTCAGAATACCATTAAAATATTTATGCACCATTTAAATAATTTTACACCTCTCTGAGTTTTAATTCTGTTTGTTTTTAGATGTGTTTTTGCATTATTTAGAAATGTGATCTCCTAATTTTGCCAAGTACTGTTATAATAATGTATCATAAGAAATGCATTTCATTTCCTTAGAATTAAACAATAATTCATTTCATCTTTGGATGTCCTGAACAAATACATCATAAATATGGTATGTAGCAAATATATGCACATCTAGCATTGGTCACATAAGGACTTTCGGCCAACCATCTGTACATTTAAGATATTATATTCTTATACCCTTTATATACCAGATATTTCTATTTCTCAATAGATGTACATATAGAATCTAGACAAAGTAGTTGCCTACCATTAAAATAAAACATATGGTCAGGTTTTTTGATATTATGCTGCTGTTCAGAAAACACACATGTAACTATGGTTACCAAACTACTGTAAAACATTATCTAACTTTGCTCATCAGTAATTTCACAAATTTAAAAGAAAGTATATGATGAGAGTGTTGGCACTTTAACTAAAATAAGATTCTTGTAATTTGTGAATTGATTTAAAATGGTATATAGCTATTCCACAGGTCAAAATAAATAATTATTTGACACATTTCAAACAAATATATATACATGTATTATCTGAAATCTACATTGTGGCATGACATTATTATTATTTCATCTAATTAACATATCTCAATTTCTATAAATAATAACAATCACTTACTCTTCTATAATTTTGGGTTCATATAATTTAATAGACTGTGGTTTTTTCTTTTCTCTTCTTAGAAAATCTCGCGATTTCTTGTCTTGGTTTGATAATAATGACTGTAAATTTGTTACTTTGTTCTGTGAATAAAAATAAAAATAAACATTGTGTTGAATAACTTGTATTTATGTGCTTTTTGCTATTTGGAGAGGGAGTTTGAGAAGATAACACCACACCCGAATCTTTCTATTTATTGGACAATCAACAAATAATAATTTTTAGAGTAGGTCTAATTGTTTTAGATAATTACCCTGGTAATTCGTTTTTGCAAAAGATGTCAGTGGAAGCATAAAATTTCAAACAGAAAGTGAGAAAAGTGGAAACAAAAGTTATAAATATTCAAATGTGTAACTATAGTTTTATTTCTCATTATTAAAACATCTTGGTAGAGTTGTAGCATGTGAATGTGGACAGTTTCTGTCACATAGTTGAATTGCTAGTTCTACCGCTGTCCAGTAGTTTCCAAGGCTAGTGGAATTCAAATTTGAGTTAATGATATGAACTCAGAAGAAACTAAATCATCAACTGCTTAAATTTACTGTTCTTACCTTTATTTGGTCTAAATATTTGTCAACCTCTAATTCACTGAGAATTGATAAAATGAATGTAAATATTTCCTTGTAACATGGCAGGTCTTGATAAAGCTCAGCAAACTCATGTATAAGACTCAGACATGTATTCATAATACTGACACGAAATGAATCAGAGTTACAATTATCTTGACTGTTGTCTGCAAACATATCAGACAAGCTGATTCTGGCAACATCTTTTTGGCTGAAATGTGATAGAAAAAAATTCAAATACTCCAATGAGAACATGAGAAATGTTACAAAAAATGATGATGATGGATGATGATGTGGAAGATGAAGAAAAAGAATTGTTCAATTAAAGTATTTAAGAAATAGCTATTCAGATCAGAAGTTTGCAGAGATGTTCAGAACACCTTTGTTCAATTGATAAAAGTGTTTAAATCACATATTCAGATAATAGACAGAGGTTCAGATGATGAAGGTATTCGATTGAAATTTGTTCAATTGACAACATGCTAATTTATTGCAGAAATGTTCAGTTAACAAATGTGTTTTATTATTTGACTATTATTTGATTTCATATTTTTTTCGTCTTGAGTTAAGATTTACATACAATGTGACTGTAAGAGTTACTGACCTTGTCTTTTCTGTGTCCTCAAGTACAAGTATATGTGAGTATTTACTAAATGGTTTAAATGGAGGTATAACTGGATAGAGTTTACTGTTCGACTTCTGAACTGATAAAAATAGTACGCCATACAGATAGTTGACAACCTCTGGGACATATCTTTTAGATAGTGACACATACTGAAATGAAACAAACCCTTATCAATGAGTACAGCTAGTGCCAGCAAGAATGTGTCAAGGCTGTGAAAATTTCAATTAAATTACACATAATTCTAGCAGCATTACAATGATACAATCAGAAGATTTAATCCTTAGTGCATGTTTTCTGTTTTAACTTCTGGCATGTATTTAGTCAGATATCTTACATTAAGCAGGGAAGTGCAAGGTTTGTAAATTTGTCTTTAAAGTCTTTACTGAATTGGGTGCAAGTTCAAATTTTGAAACCCATATAACTTGGGAACCAAATAAAGTATCTCTCCAATAATAATTTGATGAGTATGTACAGTTTTGTATTGTATTTCCTACAAAATATATAAATTTGACATAAAATAGACACTGCTTTTTTTTGCTATTTGTTTAGGACATGCAGTTTTATGAAAATACAAGATGGCTACTGTGAAGTTTTAATACAATAGGGCAAAAATGCAAAAATAGGGAAAGAAGACACCATCTTTACATTGAGAAGTCAAAGCTGCTAAAAATACAGCATTTCTGAAAAAATTAAACTTACCTGGAAGAACAGATTGCAAACAAACAAACCAACAGCAACGTCATGGCAACATGTCGGCTGACAATGTGTCAATACTTGACTCATAAATAAGACTGTTGGCGTGACAACAGAGTGACGAAAATCAGATGTCGGGAAAAGGATGGAAACCAACTTGAAATACAGTAGCTGAAAAATATAATGTCTGTTAGGAAGTAAAATGGTAAACAAACAAATAAACAAGCCAGTAGTTTCTTGGCTGACATAATGTATACCACTGTAAATGTTTGGTTGGTAAACTTGGTATGATCATGAACATGAATAATTAATTAATTAAGATAATGAGCTGAGAAACAATTTCAGATTATTCAATAATAGATGATGCAAAATATAACAGACCTCAGCACAAATCATCGGTAGTCCATTTATTTATTGAATAGACCACATACTTATATAAGGTGGATATCATATTTATTGCCAAATCAATCAATACGCAAATAAATTACAAATTAAGTAAATTACCGGTAACGAGAATCGCAGCCCATCCGAGATGGTGAAGAATGGCAATGGTTGTGGAATGTAATTTTGTGGTCTATTTAATAGACAAAATAGACTAGCACTTTTATGGTTTATGTTGATAGACTACATACTACTCTTGCAGGCACCGAAGTGGGCTGCATTTCTAGGCAAGTCTCAGGTAGATCTCTGAGTGAGTAAGTGTATAATGAGTGGCAGATAGAGCACACACCAAGAGTCATCAAAGAATACATTACACGTGACCTGATGGTTGAATTAACACTACTGTCCTACAAGAACATTGTGGTAGCCAAGCCGAGCAACGCACACCCATAAAAAGTAATTTTTGGCTGTTGAGAGGATGTCAACTTAACTTCATCAAACAAATTGTTCACAAAAATAATTGGCAGTGTACAAGAAGAATTTGAAAATATCCTTTTTACCGAAAACTACTAAAACAAAAATATTTGCCAAAAACGGAGGATAAATGATATCGGCATGAAATGAACACAAAAGCTGATAAAGGTCCACCCAACATACTTAATATAAACTAAGAGTTAATACCATGTCCAATCCAGGGTATTTTCGCTTGTTTTTCTTTTCACACAGATCATCAAATTCTTCATAGCGTTCCACAATGCTTGCTTGCATAGTCTCAGCAGCTTTTATAGGTGAGTTCTGACACAACTCATACAAATGCCTGTTAGAAAGTAAACTAAACAATAAATTAACCGTAAAATCTGTATTAGAAGCCGCATCCCTAATAGAAGTCGCACCTATTCTTTTTGAATAATTGAGAACCAAAAATTCATCATTTCTCATATGTGTAGATGCTCTAATAGAAGCCGCATTCCCTCTGTTGCATTGTACCATTTTAATAGAAGCCGCGGTTTCTAATACAGATTTTACAGTAGTCAAGTATGCACTCAAACAGTACGCCCTCGCATCAACCTCACTGTGCTGTATTCCTTCAAACACAGTTACCATGACTACAATTATGGAGAATTTCAATAAATAAATATTCATTCACAAAGGTTTTTTGATAAGTAAAATTTAACCAAATGGCTAACAGAAAGAATTTAACATAATGAAAGATTACAATATTTTGAATTCATGCAGCAAATACAAACATGCTTTAGTAACATGGACGTATAAAATAAATTTGTCCTTATGTTTACTATATTGTGGCTGATGTGCATACTTTGTCATATTCGCATCATATCATGACATATTCGCATCATAACCTTATTAGTATACAACACTGGGGTTCTATTCTGTCGCACAATATACAAAATTGTAGTGCCTCTGAGACCAATGTAAAGAAAGGTGTTCAAATATGAAAAATAATGGTGAAACTAATACCAGTAATAGTTAAGCATTAGTCCCAGAACAAGCTGAAAACTTAAATTTTGTAAAAATGACATACAGTTGTTGTTGATACATCTCGCCCTTCCCACATATTTCATTTTGAGAGTACTTGAGGGTCTTATCCCCTAGAGGAAACAAATCTACAGACAAACAAAACCCCCTAACCCAAGCGAGTAACTATTGTTCAGAAATCTAACTTAATTTACGAGTATCAGTATGCAGTTAATTTCCCATTACTCATCCACAATCTCAATATTATATGGTGTATAATATGGTCAGGGGATGGAACCTTAAAATACAATAAAATACTTTGAATTAGTTACATGCTATTATAAATAATAGATTGATGTACTGAAAGATACAAACCTAATAAGCTTATCAATTAGACCCATCTTAGGGGGTCTTTCACAAGCTAAATCCCCAAGATATTCAAGAAGAAGAGCAAAGAGCCTTTCTAGTTTTTCTGAGTTGCCTTCAGCCAGACTTGGGTGATGACATTTGCGGATACGTTCTATGATTAGAAGTTGATTGTTTGTGCTATGTCCTCCAATTATGGCAACCAGTTCATCATAACTGTCTGGAGCTGGAATAACATTATTTATATGAATTATATTGCTTTATTAGAAAAAATGCAAACAATGTTTAATATGAACATATTTGAATCTTAGAAATAATTCTAAACAGAGAAACATACACATAGACAAAATGACAACGCAAACAGTTTATATTGTATTGAATTTATAATAGTGTAATTTTTACCTTCAAATGTATATGGAAGTTCCTTCTTTGCTTCTCTAATCATTTTTAATTTATTCTGAAATAAGATTTGAAATCTATCAGATTGAGAAATTATTTTCTCCACTTTTATCTAAAGTCTAATTACAGATACCCATCTAGGGTTGCTTTGGTTTTAGACTCTGGTTGCCTTGGTAATCTCCAAATAAAATGTTGAACAATAAGAACCAATAAATAAATTGATTGAAGTAAATGTTATGTTATACTCAGTCTAGGATCATTTACAAAATTTGAATATATTTGACAATTTACAAAATTTATGAAGCATGTACTTGAAAAATTTGATACCTGGTTCACACAGGATTAAGATTTCCTTTGCTAATATCACAAACAAAATCATTCAAGTAACTACCTTTTCATCTTCTTCCTTTATAACTTGAGATGTTCCATCATCATCATCATCAATATCACTACTTTCATCAGATTCTATATCAGCACCACTGTCTTCTCCATCACTGTCATCCTCTGCTGCATTCTCCTCCTCCTCCTCATCATCATCATCATCAGCAGCAGAATCATCATTACAAACAAATTTGTCATTCTCTTCTTCCTCATCAACACTTTCGTTTTCTTCGCCACTCACATCCTTGTTATTTTTGGAAACTGTAATATCAGAAAATTATAATCATAAATAATAGACAAACCATAACCACATAGAATGGGTGTCTGCATATTAGCAGCTCACCTAGAGAGCAATCTGCATCTGAAACTACAAAAATGTAATTGTAGATGACATAACCCCCTGATAACTATTTACAAGAGATCCCTGTCAATGCATCTGAATACACTACTAAAATGTTGAATGTTGGATGATATATCCCCTGCTAAGTACATGTAGGTACATTAGTTTATAACAAGTAATCACATTACACAGCCCCTGTGAGATATTAAAAACACAGAAAAGTTTTTCTCTGACCAATTGATTGACCAAGTACAAATAATAAACACACCTCAGCTGATCCCTGTGAATTACAGTATTTGTTTTACCTAGTGTAAGTTGTAAGTGTGGGCAATAGTGATAAAACTGGGATGGATGGTCTGTGGTGATGTTGTTGTGTAACATACAGAATAATTGGTATTTTTCACTTCTTCTGACAGAAAACAAATTATTAGGGGACATGGGGTATATTTTAGAGAACCCAGGTTATTTTTAGGAACATGGAATATTATTAGCGGATTTTGGAGGACATGGGATATTTTTTGTAACAAATATGCTATATTACCATTGGCTAAAGAATACAATGAGTCAACTCCTGCAGGTAGAAGTAGTTTTCCTTCCTTGTAGCTGAGATGGAACTTCTCTTTTCTTGGCAATGCCACACTGAAGGGGGACAAACAACAGGGAAAAGTTATAGTTATTAAGAAAATCTAATGATGCAATAGAAAAGCTAATTTAATTGATTGATGTTAAATTTCTCACTTGTCCTCCAGTGCATCAGCTGATATATGTTCAGGTTTATCAGGTTCTTCTTCTTCAGAAATTCCTTTCATTCTTCTCTGTCTATCTGCTTCAAGTTTCTCTAATCGTTCTCTTTCATCTCTCGCCAATTCGTCAGCAGTTTTTAACCTGTCTGATGCCTGTCAAAAGCCATTAAAAAAAGATAGTACGGTACTCCTA